GTTTTTCTTATTTTCTAACTGTAAACATGGTTCTGTATGATTGCATTTAAATGATCTTTCATTTATAGGATCAATCCTGAGCCTCTGATAATCTGTTGAACAGGAATTCTAAACCCCAAACTTTCATGGCATTGTTTATAACCTGAATAGAGAAAGACCCACTGTTATCTATATTTCTAGAAGGCTGTAAAAATGTGTGATAGTCTTCACTAGCAATTCCTCCTCCTCCTCTCTCACCCTCTCTTCTTCATCCAGCTGATGTGTAATTGAAGTAATTTTACTGGACTAAAATATTCTTGCAACAGATTATTTGGGCAATGGTGAGCACAAAGGAGACTTCTTGTTTCTCATGAAAAGTGGGCTCCATGTTTGTTTGTCTGGAGCCAAGAATCCCCTGTCAAACCAGCCCCTCCAGCTCCATCCTCAGCCCTGCTCCTCCCGTTTTCTACTCTTTCAGATTAAAGGTCTTAGGAATTTTTCCCCAGAAATAAAGTGAATATTAACACACAATGTGTATAGTATAAAATGTTTTATTGTAGTAGGATGTATACAACAAAATTTTGCCATTTTAACCATTTTAAATGTATAATTTAGAAGTTTTAATTATATTCAGTGTTGTATAATTATTACTGCTATTTCCAAAGTCTTTTCATGACCTCACATAGAAACTATAACTGTTAAGCACTAACCCCATGCCTCCCTCCCTCCAAGTCTGAGGTACTGTCTAATTTACCCTCTGTCTCTATGAATTTGCTCATTCTAGATTCTCTTTATAAGTGGAATCTGGGAAATATTTGTCCTTTTCATTTGGCTTATTCACTTAGCACATGTTTTCAAGGTTCATCCATTGTAGCATGTATCAGAATTTAATTCCTTTTTATGAGTAAGTCATATTCCATTTTACACACATACCATATCTTACTCATTCATCTGTTGAATACATGGGGTGTTTCTGCCTTTGGCTATGGTGAATAATATTGCGGTTAATGCTGACATACAAGAATGTGTTTTAGTCTCTGTTTTTAAATTTACATGGTATATAGATTGAGTGGAATTGCTAAATCTTGTCACATTTCCTAATCCTCTTATGATTTCTTCTTAAATCTACTGGACATTGAGTGTGTTAGTTTCTTCATAATTTTGAATTTTCCAGTTTTTGATTTTTTTTCTCTGGTTTTTTTTTTTTTTTTTTTTTTTTGAGACAGAGTCTTACTTTGTTGCTTTTGGCAGAGTGCTGTGGCATCACAGCTCACAGCAACCTCCAGCTCTTGGGCTTAGATGATTCTCTTGCCTCAGCCTCCTGAGTAGCTGGAACTTTAGGCGCCTGCCACAACACCCAGCTATTTTTTTTGTTGCAGTTTGGCTGGGGCTGGGTTTGAACCCACCCCCCTTGGTATATGGGGCCTGCACCCTACTCACTGAGCCACAGGCGCCGTCCTGATTTCTAACTTTATTCTTTTGTAAGGAGAGAAGATACTCATTTGGTTGTAATCTTTTCAAATTTACTAGGACTTGGTTTGTGGCCTAACAGATGGTGTATCATGGAGATGAT